GGGATAGAAGTTTAATTTGACGTTTACCCAATTGTATTGTCACACGTCTTCCTTAATAAAAGGTCATGCGTTCTGGCTGCAAGATTCCCAGAATAAAGGATCCATAAGACTCAGGTGGTCCATTATTCTAATACGATACCAAATCCCTTCATTCTTACTTTTCGTTCTATCCAAATACCTACCTTCCAAATCAGATTCACTGAGTATACCATAAATGTAAAACATCTGGATCAAATATTAGTTAGTTAGTTAGTTAAGATCAAATCTCACGCGTCTGTCGTGATATGCATGAAGGTATGACCAACGTAATGCTACGAAAGCGATCAAACAATCAATCTGATGTCTTGGCATTATCACGACAAATATGATCCGATCAAAATAACACAGTTCAACTGCACCATTTCCCCTGTCAACACTTGAGTACAGATGATCGGCGATGACTAAGCATATAGGCCCCATATTGAGATTAATTTCCCTCATCATTAACATCAGCTTAAATTAACAGGCTTCAGCTGTATGCTCCCATAAGTAGGCTCATCTAAAGTTGAAGAAAACGGCAATAATGTTTATAAAGAACAAAATCACTCAAAAGTCTAATAAAACCTAATAAGATCCCAGTATGAATATTGAGTTATGATCCCGATTGGATAACTAAAAAGTCGTCTGAAAACGATTTCTTTAGTCCTTGCCAAAGTTGTGGACTATGCAAATTGCTGACCCCATTTTCATCATTTCGTTTTCTAAGATTAAGTCTCTGCCTTCCCCCCACCCCCAAGCCCTCGATTAATGATAGATGATGTCTAACTGCAATTACGATAGTCCAGTGGTTGACATAAAATAGCGAAAAAGGAAGAATGAGTCCCATTTATCCTCGACACTACAATCCCAAATGTTGAGCTCTCATGAAATCTAAATCCTCCTCAGAGGAGGGAACTCATAACAATTACCCCCTAAAAGCAGTCATTTCAACTTTGGCTAAATGTACTAAAACTGCTAAAAATGTTTGCCTTTACATAAAAAGAAAATTCTTGTTTCTACTACTAGAACTTCTAATTCTCCGCCTTGCTGATTCATCCGAAGGCAAAAAAGTCTGTTACACACCTCCAACCGTCGCGTCCTCGGCAAACCCTCTTCGTTAAATTTCATTGAAATTGCATAGCTAAGGGAAGCTCCAAATGCTCGATCCTCATTGGTGATAGCGCCAGAGATCCGCACAACAGGTAAAACGTCATCATCCTTTCCGCCCACCCCACACGGAGTCTCAAGAAGTGGAATGGCAGCAATGAGGAGACGACGATCCCAATGTCTATCTGGAGGTAGAGACCGAGCTAGTCGCAGAGTAGGCGAGGCCTCCAATGTGATACCGCCGATGCCGCAGCGAAGTGGAGCATCAAGGACATCTACGGAGGCCATTGAGTCCCACACGAGGAGCCCTGGTGGGCGCTGATCGAGGATAAGGTCCTTAAAGGGTGAGACGGGCATCGCAAGCAGAGGAGAGAGGTTGAGGAGAGCGGCTTTAGCATTTGTTGCATTGCTGCGTTGCTAAATTCAAACGAAATAGAGCTTTATTAATCAGAAGGCGTTGGAGACTTTCGACGCAAAGAATAATCAAGACGGGTTAAGAATTGGTGAGTTGAATGTCAGACAAACACAATGATCGACGGATGATTCACGGTATCATTATCAAAGTTGGACAAATTCAAAAGGATGGATTCGATTTCAACAAATTAGGGCGGCTTAAAAGGCAAAAAGGGTACTGGGTTGTAAGAGCTGTGTATATCCTGTCATCCGTGAAACTTTGTGTATTTCGCCCCCTCATTTGTGACATGCGATGG